ATTTTTTGAAAAAATAAAAATTATTTAGCAAGAAAGATTCTTCAATGACGGAAGATACGACCCTAGCACGTTTAAGATATAGGGACGCTCCTGAGCCAGAGCGTCACGTGAGCGGTCGGCGGCTCGGCCGCTGAGACTCGAGTGGTAGTGGGGGTCGCTCGCCGGAATCAGCCCGAAATGTGCATCTAGTGCCGAGCACTGGTGTAAACGTTTACCTTCAAGTAAACGTTTTTTCGAAAGCGAATATAAACAGATAAACGTTTTACATTTACACGTATCTTCGAAAAACGGAATAAGATTAAAGTCCTAGTATACACATATTTTCCATTCGGTGAAAATACTTTTCTTCTAGACTTTCAATCTTAGTTCTACAAACTCGTTATCGTTCGTTCCAGTAATGTGATCTCAGCTGCATGCTTATCTTCAAGATATGGACTACAAAACTCTTATATCAAGAAAATATATACGTGAAATGACAGCTGTACGAGCCAAAAATAAGTGAAATTTTTAATTTTTTTTTTTCGATTTTCTCATGAAATCCAGTGCAGCTGAGGTCCTGTTTGTGCGTATTTTAATTCTGTAATAATAATTTTGCAATCCGTAAATCCAATTCGAAGATTTCATTTCATCGAATGGAAATGATGGTAAAGTGGAACTACTTTAGGATCTCCTATATTTCAAATATGATGCTTGATTGTGCATCAAAATTCTTAAGAATTGCTTGTCCATTTAATTTAATTTGTGATATTACAGTAGTTTAATTGCATTTATAAGTCCAGAAAACCAATTCGACGCGCAATTTGAAAGATTATAAATATAATAAATATGCATGTACATACATATATAATATATATATATATATAACTTACATTGAATTAGGCATTAAAGATTTAACTTCGACTAGTGGATATTTTAATTTCTAATATTGATCATTTTTTAAATTTTAATTTTTAACAATAAAAATAACATAAAATGAATAAACAAAAATGTGTATTAAATAAAAATGTAATCTTATTCACACAACTTTTATATGTATATAGTTTATTTGAAGTGTAAATATTAAACACATTTCCAAATTTAATTTCCTTTGCAGGGACTGTATGTCCGATACATCCTTAAGTACGCTACTGTATAAAAAAGCTTTGTAATTTGAATTTCAGTTCTCTTTCTCGATTAAAAGTAAAGCTGGAATTTTTAATATATTGGTTTGTATGGAACCACATATGTTGTGATTCCAACTAAAAGGAAATTTCATTATTGTACGTGAATATCCGCGTAGAGCCGCTTTTTTCTTCATCTTTGCTTAGTTTGTTGTAATCTTGAGATAATTTAATTCGATGAATGCAACAACCATGGTGGTTCCTCTTGCTTCTTTTTTTCCTGCTTTCTTTTCTGACGGTATCTTGTTCGATTAGGACTCCAATCAACGCTAGTTTGTCTTGTTCTGGTCGATGTCGATAGTGTGTTATTAATTAGATCCATCTGTACGATTGATTGTCCCTCATAACCACTCAAAAAAGTGTAGTGTGGATGATAGTACTGTTTCAGACTCGACTCGTCTCGAAAATTCTGCATCGCGCACCACACGTGGCACAATAAGCATGGAAATCTTGACAACCAATATTCTGTAAATTTGTTAGGAATCTCACCGAGACTTTCTTGAGCTTTCAGGCTCAATTCTCTGTAGTGATGCTTCTAAAAAAAATACACAATATGTCAACACACTAATAATAAATCGATAAGCAAGATGACAATTAAGATGTTATCATGTTAGACCATTATTATCCAAATAGAAACTTGAGAGTGCAGGACATCCCGGCCTTTTTTATGTACCAAACAATAAACCTTGTATGGTAATATCCACGTTTTTTTGGTTCTTTTCCACGCTATTATGTGGGTTATCCCAGTGAAAATTTTTCTCAGAATTTTTCATATAATTTTTTAGAATTTCTATATAATTTTATAGAACTTTCTCACATTTTTTATACGAATTGGAACACTTCTCAGAAAATCTACACCTTTTCTCAGAAAATCTGCATCTTTGGATGAGAATCTCAGAATATTTTAGAATTCACATATATAAAAAATTCTGAGAGAAGATGTAAACTTTCCGAATATTTCTGAGTATTTCTGAAAAATATTCCAATTCATATAAAAATTATGAGAAAAATTTTCACCAGGTAGACAAGGACGAACAATTAAAGTTGATTATTCGTCTTTGTCTAATCCACGTAATAGTATGAAAAAGAACCACAGAAACATGGACATTATCCTACGAGGTTTGGTACACAAAAAAGCTCGGGATGTCCACTCTCAGGTTTCTCTCTGATTATACTTTTTCCTCAACTGTTTTAAATACATTTGCGTACTTATTAAATAAACGAAATATATATTAATTACATTCTGCCTTCTGATTTTCATTCTTGTTCTTTATTTCAATAATTTCATGTATTTTAAATCTTGATATACCCATGGTAGAAAAAGACAAGAGCCGGAATCCATAGTCCGTTCTTAATCTCAAGCAATGGGCGCGTTCAAGTTGACAAAGCGGCTAACCTGCTCGCCAAGCAAATGAACATAATTGGTTGTTACTTATAGATCCAACCAATCATATTCAATCGCTCGATAAGCACGCCTAGCCGCTTTGCCGTCTTGAACTCGCCCAATGTCTTAAGATGCTAATAAAGCTCTCTGATTGGTTCATGTACTAGTTTAAAACCATTTCGAATCTTGAGCAACGTCTATAGATACCGTCCAAGGTATAATAATGCGCATAATACGCATTGCGCATGTTCTTCTACGTCATGACCAGCCAATCAAATGCTAGCATTCTTTTGGTTGAACAAATTGACTACCGCGCGTTCTTGAAATTGTTACACCTTAAGGTGCTATTACATGCAAGCGTCGAGCATCTGCGCAGAAGATCACTGCTGATTACTGCGCAGGAGTTTGAATCTCCAGACTCCTGCGTAATAATCTTAGAGCATATATACATGGAGTGTGCATTGCCTATACCTCCTGTGGCCCAAACATATGTTCAAGATGCGTTTGAGAGAAAAAGATTACATGGAACTTTCGTCCTCTATGCGCATGTGCCAACATTGCAGACACTATAGTTAGTATAGTATGTTACGTTCCAGTATAGTTATTATTGGCATTTTAAAGCATGCGCAGAGAGAACGAATGTTCCATGTATATATCTGTCTTTCTTACACGCATCTTCATATATATCTTTCTCTTTCACACGCATCTTGGACACAATTTTGAACCACGATGCTCACTCCATAACTAAAGGTTTGTTCGCGTCGCATGCTCCAATATGTTCCAATATGCTTCTACCATAGCTCTTACTCACTCCAACGCGCTTGGTAAAGTGAGTAGGAACTATAGTAGGAGCATGTTGGAGCTTGCGATGCGAACAAACCTTAAGTTTTCCACCGAGGAATCGGGTCAGAGTCGGGTTAGAGTTAAATTGGCTTGCCTGTTTCCACCGAATCAGAGTTACACTAGAGTTGCAACAGATGGTGCATTCAGTACTACAACCGCTCAGTGAGCGCTTGCATCTTATTGGTATATTTCGTTAGAACTAAAAATATAGACCAAACAGATACAAGAGCTCACTGAGCGCTCAATAAGCAGTCGTGGTACTAAATGCACCCAGAATTATGCTAGGATTGAATGTATCAAATGACCAAACTTCTTTTTTTCTTGATTTTTGCTTGTTGTAATAAAGTAAAAGTACTCGTATAAACACAATACGTGTTTGATCATGTTTGATATGCACAATTTGAATTTTCATTCTATTGGCAATATTACTACAACTAACCTCGACTCTTGCCGTTTCCACCGAACCTCATTTGGACCCTACCCTAAAATTTTATTGAGTAGAGTTTCCACATAAGCGCTCAACTCGACTTGACTCTGATCCGACTCTGATCCGATTCCAACCCTCGGTGGAAACTTAGGCCCGAATTCATAGTCGTTTCTCAAATCTCAAGATTCGGTTTCAAATCTCAAATCTCAGATTCCAATCTCAAATCTCAGATTCCAATCTCAAATCTCCAATCAAAATTTCAGTGCTAGTATCTATTCAATCATGAAATTGAATTCTTCGTGACTATTCGTGATTGAGCGAGAAATGATAAAATAAAATGGAATAAAATAAAATGTGGTGATTAGTGAGGTTACAAAATATAATCGACTGAACATTTAGAAAATTAATTTTTTAAAGAAAGTTGTGAGGTAAAGAATTAAAATATTTATAATATATTTATAATATACAATATATTTACTAATAATAACTCTGATAAAAAAAATTTCACACTAGTGACCCTGGTGAGTATACGATGTTAGCTTTTTTGTAAAAATAAAAATTGTGTCAAAATCATTATAAGTGTTCTATTTTCATTCTAAATTAATGTCTGAATGTTTGTTTTCGTTAAAAAAATGTTTTTCTAAAAGAATTATTTCCTTTTTATACAAAATGGATAAAGCTGAAGAGGCGAGCGACATTATTTTACGAAACAACGAAATTGATATTTTTGGAGAAGAGACAGACAGCGATGAGGACTTTATATTATTGGAAAGCGAAATCGAAAGCGAAGAGGATGGACTTGACTATGATGACGACTATAAATGCAGTCCGACTATGATTGCAAAACGTAAAACTTTTCTTTTATATATATTTATTTGAATATGTATTTTCATTTTATATTTCTTTTCATTAAAAAAGACATTATATTACAACAAAATAAAAAAATGCGTATTTTAACTCGATTTTTTCTATATGTCCCTTACTGAAAATTACTCATATTCATGTGTTCAAATAATTCAATTTTTTGTAGAATTCGAAATTCTAGTATTTTTTTTCATAACTTCATATCTAAACTACAAAACTCTGGAGTGATTTTTTTATATTCATTTATTATGAAAAGTTATAATTTTTTAACTCAAATGCCATTTTTTCCCAACTTACAAATCTTTCGGTAATTATAAATTATACATTTTATTTTCCAAAATGAAGAGTCAATATTTATTCTAGAAAGTTGAAAGTATGTTGGTGAATTTTTAGAGATTTTTTGAATTATTTTAAAGAGGTGAAAAAACGAAAAGATTCTAGTGACCCTGGTTGGTATGGATGAGGCACCAAATTGTAGATGGTACGGTAAGGATTAAATTTTGAATAAAATTTCTTGAATAGAATATCTTATAGCGAATTCGATAGACCGCACTAGTGTGTACTGAGTGTGAACTTTTTCAGTGCCACACATTCGGCTTGTGCGCACTGTATCAGTGCGTTAAGATTATCGTATTCGGCAAATGAAAACTGACCCAGTGTAGTACTGAATTTATATTCGGATCAACCGAATGAACTGAACGAGTTCAAAAAATGTTGCACTGACGTTTCTAACAGTACAATTTGGCATAGCACTAAAGTAGTTCTGCACTCGCACCATGTCAGGGCAGCATTAGAACAGAGTCAGTGCATGTGTGCTGAATTCGCCATTAATTTTATAATGTTTGCATTCTACCATCCACTCATAATATTTTATTAATGATGAACATATTTTTTTTGAAAATTGCTGCAACAAATCAATACTGTAGATATAACCTACTTCTCCATATGAATTACAAAAATATGAAACCTTTTTCGTTTGCACGTCAAGATATCGCACAGTGGACCAGGAGACTGGAAAAAGTGGCCAAAATGATCAATTAAATAAAAATGCTCGAATTGCTGTCAAATTTAGTACTCGGGGATTTTTGAAGTTGCTGATTTCAAATCCGAACTCAAAATTTAGAAATTCAAAATGGGAGATCCAATATGGCGAACAAAAATACTAAAAGTACTTCGATTGTGTTGAAATTTGGTACGTAAAGGTTTTTGGAATCGTCGATTTTAAATCCGAACTCAAAATTTAGAAATTCAAAATGGGAGATCCAATATGGCGAATAAAAAAACCTAAATAAGTGCTTTAACGTGTCTACGTATGTAAAGAATGCTGAACGGGGGCCAATTTCCCGCGCGCACGCTTTGTGACCTTTTTACAATTCTCTGTGAATTAGCAAAAAACCGCACAAAAGTCGCCGATTTAACTTCAATTACACACTGAGAGCAATACAGTAATATCTTATTTTTATAATTTAAACGCGATACGTCGTGGTATAGCGTATCGGCATCTTGAACTAAATTGAAACACGCGGGAAATAACGCATATAAAATCGCTTGCAGATATATATTTTTACGCATTTTTTAGCTTTCTGTGCTACTTTCATGATAGATATACACAACAAAATAAAGAAATTGTGGATGTGTAATTCAAATCTGCAATTGTTATTGAAATTTATGAAAATTTACAGGACAATTATTTATCGTCCTCAAACGCACTTTTTAAACTTAGACTTACCAATAGAAAACTAATCAGTAAATTGACTTGAAATTTTTAAAAACAATACTTTAACTTATACAGGGTGTCTCAAAAAAACGGATCGAAACACAATGGGGACGTAGATTGAATCAAGGGAAACAAAACAGTTTTGTACCATTTTGCAGTTGACGCAATATTTAACGAGATATTAACGTTTAAAGATAGGCGAATACAAGCGTCCGACCAGCCTATTGCTCATGTACTACTATCGGCAGGACGGCCTACCATCCCCAACGATCGCATGACGCGCCGGCCGCGAGGTGCGGGGCCTGGCAAGCGAGCCACTCAGAACGGCGCGCATGGGGAGGAGAAGGATAGCGCTTGAGCAGTAGGCTGGTCGGACGCTTGTATTCGCCTATCTTTAAACGTTAATATCTCGTTAAATATTGCGTCAACTGCAAAATGGTACAAAACTGTTTTGTTCCCCTTGATCCAATCTACGTCCCCATTGTGTTTCGATCCGTTTTTTTGAGACACCCTGTATACTTGATACTAGTATACTTCATTAGGCGAAAATCCGAAATCGACTTTTGGCCACTTTTTCCGGTCACCTGGCCAACTGTGCGATGCCATGATGCATATAACCGGGACTCTTTAGAAACTATATTTATGAATAGGGTGCGAAAATTCGGGCACGATCAGGACACGGCGTGCGCGAAGAATTGTGAGCTTTGTTTAAATTGAATAAGCCGTGCGCCCTATTTATGAATTCCTTTATGAGATAAAAATTAAAAGGAGGAATAATGGAATTTATAGAGTCTTCCTCTCGATTGAAAAAAATTCAAACGACAGAATTGATACATACAGTCGCGCATATAGTTATGGAATCATAATCAATCCGAATAATTTCGAATTTAATTGTTTACACATGGAAAATTATAATATTCGCAAAATATCGCCGAATAAGTTCAAAAGTAAACGTTATAATGAAGATCCTGACACTTTAAATTTTTTATTAGAAGGTGGAGTTTCGAGGAGCTTAGAAATGGCAACTTGTACATAATCGACAACATAAAAATGGTGTCACAATAAATCACAATACTCAATTCAGGTTAATCTCTTCATATCATTATTTTTTTAGAATTCTAATACCAATAATACTGATATTACGTGGAAAAAAACGATTCAGAAATAATAAGTTCAATTTTTTATACAAACAGGAACGATCATAAATATGTTAGAACACGAATAATATTCTGAGCTTCTTGATGTTCTTACAAGGACGGACATCGACTTATCTAGCGAAAAAATTTCTCCATAGTCATTTCAACTCATCTACTTTAAAATACCGTGACAATTAAATGTAAATTTATTTGAATGTTGGTTTTTGGCCACTTTTTCCGGGCTCCTGGCCCGCTGTGTATCGGCGTCATTTATGATAATCTAACCTTACTTTTATCTGATCTTGAGCGTCAATTGACGCCCATGAAAAAGCACCTTCAGGTTTGTTCGCGTCGCATGCTCCAACGTATTTCAATATGCTCCTACCATAGCTCCTACTCACTCCAACGTGCTTGGTAGAGTGAATAAAGGTGCATTCACGTACAAGCGTCAAGCAGCGGAAGCAGCAATCAATCAGCTGAGCGATATGGAAAAAAATTTTTTACGCCACTGTAAAAATCGCCTCGTTGATTGGTTGCTGCTTGATGCTTGTACGCTTGTGAATGCACCTTAAGAGCTATGGTAGGAGCATGTTGGAGCATGTTGGAGCATGTCCGACTATGGGTGTGTTCCGATATAGATTGCCAGTGCTGGCAGTACTGAAAAATCATTCCATTATTAGGCAGCGCACTGCGACAGCCTCTAGTAACATTAATGACGTCATAAATGGTAGCCATATTGCCACTGCGACTACTGCAGCTTTCGAAGTGAGACAGTGGGTGCATTCAGTACCACGATTGCTCACTAAGCGCTCAGTGAGCTCTCGTATCTGTTTGGTCTATATTTTTAGTTCTAACGGAATATGCCAATAAAATGCAAGCGCTTACTGAGCGCTCATTGAGCGGTTGTAGTACTAAATGCACCCACCCCAGTTACAGTAGAAATATGGCGTCGAACATGGTATTATCAACGCCAATGATATCAGGCATATCCACATCAGGGTACGTATTATGGAATTATTCGGAATTGATACCGATCAAAATTATTCAATTATCTCGCACGGAATGCAAGAGATCCGGGTTCGACTCCGGCCGAGGCATTATTTTTCGCAATAAGTTTTATTACAGTTTTTAAGTTGGGGAATTTGGGGGGATTATTAATATTTTCAGATTTGATTGCGTTGAAAGTCCGACAACCATATCGGCACGCAATTATCATTTCTGAGAATTAATTCATTTAAATGAATTTACAATAGTTCAACATCTTAACGTTCTGACCGTTATGGCGCTTCTTAATTTAAAATTATTATGTTTAACATTAGCGGTCTTTCAATCTTATTATTATTCAATTATTCTTCGCATTTCTATCGTATTTTTTAGAGAAAATGGGAAAATTACGATCGGAATTCATTCCGACATGTTCCATGATAAATACCCTGGTACTACTGAAAAAGTAAAAAAATATTAGATCCTGAATATAACATTACATATATTGAATTGATTAATTCTAATAACACTCATCTTCCTCAGATGAGGTATCACTGCTTTCGTTCAATATTTCTATTGCAATTATACAAATTTGTAACTTAACCTGTTCATTTACTGCCAGGGCTGGGTAATCATTTAAAATGCCACATATAAAATACTTAAAAAAATGTATTTAAAATATAAAATGTTTTTCGAATCCACTTTATATGTAAAATGGGTAAATAGATATTTTAAATAGTTTTCAAATACAGAATGGTTTTCCCACCCTACATACATTTTAATATACATTTTTTTAAGTATTTTACATTTAGCATTTTAAATAGAATTACATTTTAAATGGCATTTTAAATGCAAAAATACCCAGCCCTTTACTGCGTGCATCGCCATGTTGATAGCACTTGAAATTTGTTCCGATATATGCTGTTACAGCTATGCTGGCAGTAATGCAGTAATTGTGGTACAGTTGTTGCAGTGTATTGTGATGACGTCACGTTTACTGCACTGCCAGTAAAACGGAACACACCCTATAGCTCCTTCTCACTCTACCAAGCACGTTGGAGTGAGTAGGAGCTATGGTAGGAGCATATTGGAGCATGCAACGCGAACAAACCTTTTGTCTTCTTGCATCATGGATATATCTATCTCTCTTATTGAAAATCTCTAATAATCTAATTGTAAGTATTGTTACGAGATTTTTCCGAACTATTCATTCTTTGTTTTTCTTCTTATAAATAATTCTTCTCATATATATATATATATATATACAGGGTGTCTAAAAAAAAACGGATCGAAACACAATGGGG